GTTCCACGATGAAGAAAGGTAGATGTCAACACCAAGAAAGGACAGGGGGTTGCTCTCATCATAAATTCATAAACATATTGTTTTCTGGGTGATACTGATGGAAACAACTGGTGGAAATTCACTCATATCAGAGTAGTTATTTTGATAAATTTTAAACTGTGGTCAAGAGACAGGTTGATAAGTAATTGTGAGTAGGAAAATATAAGGATCATAGAACACTGACAATATCAAATGCTGGAGAAAATGTGGAGTGGTAGGAATTCTCATGTGATGTTAGTGGGGAATGCAAAATGGTACAGCTACTTTGGAAGACAGTTTGGTAGTTTCTTAAAATACCAAGCATACTCTTTCTATGTGATTCAACAATCACTTACTTTCCTTATTACATACCCAAAGATATTGAAAACCTGTATCTATATAAGCATCTATACATGTTTGTATAAGTTTTATTCATGACTGTCAACCCTTGAAAGCAACCAAAATGTTCTTCAGTAGGTGAATGGATAACCCTGAAATATCCAGACAATGAAATATTATTTAGTATGAAAAAGAAGTTAGCTATCAGATCATAAAAAGACACGAAGGAAGTTTAAATGCATATTGCTATGTTTCAATGAATATGCTAAGCTTAGCATATTGCTAAGAAGCATATTGGAAGTTTAAATGAATATTTCTATGTTTCAATGAATATGCTAAGCTTAGCATATTGCTAAGATAATATATAGTATGTGAAAAGACTACATACTATATATTTCCAACTATATAACAATGAAGATAATAAAAGTTCAGTGGCTGCCAGGGACTTGGGGAAACGAGAGGGATGAATAGAGTAAGATAATTTTTAAGGCAGTGAAAATATTCTGCATGGTACCAAATTGGAAGATAAATGTCATTATAAATTTATCTAAAGCCCCAGGGTTTCAACATCAAGAATGTTCCCTAATATGAACAATGAGTTTAGGTGATAAAGATGTATCAATGTAGATTCACTGACTGCAACAAATGTACCACTCTGGTGCAAGGAGATTGTGAGGGCTGCAATGCATGTGTGAGAACAGGGAGCATCGTGACACAAGACTAAATCAGTCAGGGTCACTCCAGGAGAACTGGGCTGGTACAAAATAATGACACACAGACAGAGAAAATACCTTTCTCTTTGGGTTCTGTTATGCCACTCTGACCCAGCTCCCACAAAGGAGGCAAGGCAGGCAAGAAAGAGAGGGAGCACACCTTGAACCCGGGTTTTACTGGGGGAGGCTGTTCAAAAAAACATTCTATTCATATAAGGCAGAGGGGTAAGATTACAAGGGCCAGCCTATCCCCACTGGGTAATGCCCACTCCCAAAGCCGGGTTCCTCTGCTGAGCAGAAATGGGGATCCACCTGCTTCCCAATCAGGGAAGCCAGTCTCCACATTTCCATTATTTAAAGGTAGGGGGGCTCAGCTCCTATGTGGCAGCTCCCAACAAGGGAGTTTAGGGGAAATCTTTGTACTTTCTGCTCAATCTTTTTCTAAGCCTAAAATATTCTAAATATAGTGTATTAAAATTTTTTAAAATCACATTCAATGCCATTGTTTCTGTTATAGGACAACTATAGTACTCCATGTTTTGTTATGGAAAAATAACTTCAACTGATTAACACAGAAAACCTTGCTGTTAGTAGCTACCTTCCATGTACAAGAAATGTTGCTAACAAGATGAGGGAGAAATATATATTTAAATGCTTCCTTTTTCTTTTAAGAAGGAGATAACGACTGGCAGATGCTTATGAACACCTTCACTGATCAGTCTCTATGCTACTGCCAGGCAGCAGGTAACTTAAAACTATTGAACCTTTTAATGAAATGTCCCATCGGTATGAAATTTTGTAACTGGAATAAAATATTTACTATGGAACTCTGTTTCATCTTCCTTTGAAAATATAGAGTAATGGAAAAAAGTATAACTGTTTCAGGAATGAGAAAAATATATTTATGTAATTTACTGAATGTTTAACATACAGTATGACAATTTTTCTGGGATTTAACTAGAGTTAATATGATTGTTGCTGGAATGTAACAAAAGGCTTTTAGTTCACACTTAATATTTGCTTTTCTACATTAAAGACAAAATACTATACAAAATGAATTCAATTTTTTTCCTTAAAAATCATTTTAAAGTTTGTTCTACTCAGCCTAATGACTAACACAGTAAAGGCAAACAAACACACTAGTATTACATAATTGGCTGATTTTACACAGCACATATCTTTTATACTATAAGTGTATTACTAAGTAATAGAAAACATCCAATAAAACCAAAATTAGTAAATAAATTTCTAAGCAAGATTTTTACAGACCCCATTTTGGATTTTTGTTTTGTTTTGTTTTGTTTCCTTGGTGCCAGGAATCAAATCCAGGGACTCGTGTGCTAGGGAAGTGGTCTACCACTGAGCTACCTGCTAAGGCACACCTCATCTTTTATACCCAACCATGATAGTCTTAATAAATGATAAAACCAGTGAATTTCCTCACATGAAATCATAGTGACAGTTGCTTTGGTATCAAAATCTCTATTTCTGATCCACTATCAGCATTAAAACAAAATTCAAATATTCCCAAAGAAAGAAGTACAATTCATGTTGTGATCAACTACTTAGCGACAATGAGCATTCAATTTAAAACTATCTCATCCCAGAAATGAAATAAGATCAGCTATGGTTATTGGCATTTCCTACACAATCTAATATTGTAGAAAACTTCAATGTCACAAAGAATTCTCTTGTCTTTAATTTTATGGTGACAGCTTTCTTCTCAAATTGATTCCCACTGCCAAATATGAACAAAAGAAACTATTAATCAGAATTTTATCAAGTACTACATGAACTACAGAACAACATGAGCTACTTGTTAACCATCAATGGCTGCTTATTTGCCAAAATTGTATAAGGAGTGACTTTAATTGGAGCACCAGACACTGATAAAAATATCTAGAGAAGCCTGGTGCAGTGGTGCACGCCTGTAATCCCAGTGGCTCAGGAGGCTGAGACAGGAGGATTAAGAGTTCAAAGCTAGTCTCAGCAATTTAGTGAGGCCCTAAACAACTCAGTAAGACCCTATCTCTAAATAAAATACAAATTAGGGCTGGGGATGTGGCTCAGTGGTCAAGTGCCTCCTGAGTTCAAACCCTGGTGCTACAACACCGCCCCCCCCCCAAAAAAAAAAAAATCTAGAGAATAAGACTTTTGTAGTTAGTATGAAACCATTCAAGACTCATTTGGCTGAAAAATGAGATTTTTATCAGGTATCTTGAGCATTACTATTTTTAAAGCAGATAACAGTATTGGGTTTGCAGTTGTAAAATTAAAGCCCATACTAAAATCAAGTGTGGATGTCACCCTGGGACAGATGTCAAGGTCAGGGACAAAACAAAAGGAACAGTTATATAATCCATTTGGACATACCTTTGCAACTGTTAACTCTGTCTGGAATGTTAACTATTGTTTAAGACTATGTTGTCCAATATATCAGTCAATAACCACTTATGGAGATTCAAATTTAAATTAATTAAAATTAAATAAAATAGAAAATTCTGTTCCTCCATTGCATTATCCACATTTCAATATCCCCATGTAATCTGTCACTACTGTATTGGATAGTGCAGATAGAGATCATTCCATCATCACAAAACATTCTGTTGGATGGCTTTGGTACAGGACTTGAAACTTTTTCCAGTAAGGAAAACCTTTAAAGATTTATTAGTCTGACCCATATTTATGACTGCTCTCTGCTCAGATCACCACGTACACTGTAACATAAATGATTGAAATATGTTTGCCACTACAGCTCTCTATCAAAACAGCACAATGATTGAAAAATGTCCTTGTTGGAGCAAGTTAAAATATAAAATAACCAAATCAAGAGAAAAACAAATACTGACCATTCTTTATTCAAACAGCACATGTGAATCTAAATCAGACAATGACATTGTCTGACTACCACCTTGTCACTTACTATTATCAATTGTATTTTTTAAAGTCATTTTTACATTAGTAGCAAGGTACAATTTAATTTATTTGGTGATAAAGTCACTAGAACTAAGACAAAGTCAAGAGAACTGCTATCAGAAAATGCTAAGAAAGATCCAAATATATACAAATTGTCAAGAAAACACAAAATAGGAGCAATATAACTTAAAAACAAAATAAAAGACTTATGTGTAAGCTAAAGACAATCAGGTCTAACAGCATCTTTAATTTTTTTACCTCTCCAAATCAACACTATAAAGTCCAAAATCTGGGCTACATTTCACATTTGCTTTCCCACTGTATGCTCACCAACCAGAATCCTGCCAAGTATAATTTAAATAAATCTTATCCTGTTATAAGGTGATAAGATTATTTTCCTGATTTATTTGCCTGATTTTCAAGGTTATTTGGCTGACAAAAATCACCTTGAAAACCAAAATGTGAATATACTTCATCAGAATAAGAGCAAGGAATTCAAAGCAGATGACAGAGTTTCAACTGAGAATATAATTTTCACAAGTAGTGATCACAGTTTATAACCATAGATTGAATTTGTACATAAAAATAAAAAACCTGCCATATGACAGTATGTATTCAAAAAGCAACTACTGCATGCTCTTGTATGGCATAAAATAGTACTGAATTACATGAAATGGTACAGTTTAGTTTAATTTAGTTTTGTTTTGTTTTTTTGGTACTGGGATTTAACCTAGAGGCAATTAACCACTGAGCTACATCCCCTTTTAACTTTTTGAGACAGGTCCTCGCTAAGTTCCTTAGGGCCTCTCTAAGTTGCTGAGGCCAGTCTTGAACTTGGGATCTTCCAGTTTCAGCCTCCCAGGAGGCTAGGATTACAGGCATGTGCCACTGCAGCCAGTGGTGTATGATCTTTACTCCTCCACAGCTTCAAATGACAGGGTTACTATAAATCTTCCTCTCAAACAAACCTTTGATAGATAAATAATGTAATTAAATAAGAAATTAAAATACTTACCAGCAAGTCAGGAGCAATCAAAATAGTTTTTCCCTTATTTGAATTGTCTCCTGATAGCATCTTTTTCCTTCTGTTACCACCTACAAAATATTAACAAGTCCTGATTCTTCAGAGTCACTTGCCAAGTCAGTGTTCATATTGGTAGGCATGTATGAGACCAAGCATCCCTGCTGCTAGGGCACCAAGGCAGGCAGGGCCTGGAAGGTAACAGTTTTATTTTGAGCAGGGGAAAACACAATGCAGCACTTCATGGCTACACTGTAACTAGATCCTGCTTCAGTTTTCTATGGAAATAACTGGATATCGACAACATCTTAATTAGTAATAATACTAGGAAAGAACAGCTCTTATCAGATCAAAAACTGAAATCCCCAACATGCATTTTCTAGAAGCCAGTATACCCTTTGCCTATGTTCTACAAAGACTGGCCTAATTGTTAGTCTCTCATCTGTCACAAAGCGAATATAATTACCTTTCTTATGGTTTTTCAGAGAGAAAATGTTAATTTCTATCATAGTGGGAATGAAGGGCCATCTGATTTCTAACTTTCACCCCTACCACTGGAAGAGACCACTCATTCTATTAATCATGCCTAAGTCTAGATATTATTCTACCAACTCTTAGAAGGTGGGAATTTGTGTGTCTTAGAAGAGGTCTATCTCAGTTTTTCTTCTGTTACAGCTGTTCAGCTATTTTTTGATTCTTGTGCTTACTCTGCTAGCTTTATTTCAAATACCAAGACATGATACTAGTTTCTGAAATTTTAGCACAGACCTTAGAGAAGGTACATTTATGTGTACGAATGACAAAAATATTACCCTATTCCAAAATTTCTGTAAAATACTGACATGTCCAAGAGTTGCCTCTTCGTTTTTCTTCAGAATTTGAAACTGGCTTTCTCATGAACTTCTTGATAACTTCCAACATATTGATTAGCATGGCATCAGAAAGCAACACAACCTTAAAAAAGAGATAAGCATTAATTATACTGACAAATCAATTAAGCAAATAAATCAGTTTTCTTAAAATTACTAAGGAAAGAATGTTTGAGACCAAGCGTCCCTGTCTTACTACAGAATTGAGCAAGACAGAGATTGTGGGAAGCAATTGCTCTCAGCAGGAGGAAAGGACAATATAGCACTTTGCAGCTATAGTGCCACATACCCAACCTGCCAGCCAGAGAAAAATCTCATGTACACCTGAATACTTGTACATAATTTGTTGTAAATCTCATGAATTTGATCCTTAATCTCAGCCCAACATTTTAATCTACTTCATTCAAAATAAATTACTTGATCCATTTTGGATAGTTCAAAATTTTTTTTAGTTAAGCGGGAGCTGTGCATAGTGACTTCCTTCCAAATAGTACAGTATGGAGGGAGGGAAGGAGGAGGGTAACTTTCCATTGGAGAAAGATGACAAATACTACCTCAGCCAAGTAACTGACATCAATATCAATACTTATGATTCTTGATATAGAATGACAAGAATGAGAGTTTATACCTGTGGTCTTCTTTCCTAAAACCCCAAATCCCGTGTAATTCTCTTTTAAAAAATCAGACAAATTCTAATAGAGGGGCATTCTATTTAAATAATTGACCATACTCTCATAACTGTCAAGGTCACCAAAAACAAGGGAATACTAAGAAACTTTCACAGCCAAGAGGAGTCTAAGGAGACATGCCAACTAAATGTAATGTGATATCTTGGATGGCATTTGGAACAGGAAAAGTACATTAGGAAAAAACTAAGGAACTCTGAATAAATTTTGGACTATAGTTCATAACAATGTATGAGTATGAGTTCATTAACTGTACCATAGTAACCACCCTACAATTGTACCATAAAATTACCATACTAACATAAGACACTTATAAGAGGGAAACTGGGTGTGAGGTATATGTGAACACTCTATACTATCTTCTCTGTTTTTCTGTAAACCTAAAACTGTTCTAAAAAAATAAAATATATTTTTATAAGTCTCTGTATCAAAGTGTATAGCTACTGGCTTTATTAGTTTAATTACATTCCCCAAATAAATATATAACCTAAATATCATTGGTTTAAAAAAAAAACGCTATAGGAAAACTACAGCAATACTTACAAAGATGTCTTCTATTTAACACATTGAAATTCTCCTATATGCCAAGAGTACTATGTACTGCCTCATCCTGCATTTTTGTAATTCATTTAGAACACCAATTTCACAATGCAGACATAAGTCGCTCCCATATCATCTTCAAGTGCCAGAATTAGCTTTTGGGTCTAAAAGAGAATATTCTAAATTATTATGTAATAGAAATACAGACTCCAACAACTGACTTCAAAGCCCATGGATAAATATTGAACTGTTATATTTGGTTTGATATATGTATATATTACGAATATATGTGTATGATATATAATATATATCATGTGTATGTTAATATAGGTGTAACAATAATGTATTATTTATATTTATTATGTATTGATATATTACTATGTAATATAATAGTATGTATATAATACATATTATGTATCACATATTGTGTGTGTATGTGTGTGTATGTGTATATATATATGCGCATACACAGTATAAAAAAGGAATTGAAGCTCTTTGGAGAAATAGCTACTTCTGTGGACAGGAGGAGAAAGAAAAAATTGAGCTTGGAACACCTTATGCCAGAAAATAGGGAATGAAGGAGATATGTGAAAAAAGTTAAAGGAACCAGCTTGAAGAGACTCCATTGGCCAGAAACTGGGCCAGTTGAGCCACAAATAAATATTGACGGATTATAATCCATGGAATATTAATTAACCTATGAGTTCACAGATAACAAATAAATAATGGATGAATTAATGGGGGGGGATTCCTCTTGCAGTATAAATATAGGAAATGGAAAAGCATTCTGTAGCTCCTGTTATGTGGGGAGGAGAAGAGGGGGCTGGGTGTGGTCCCTCCTGGCAATGGAGCTAAAAGCGGACTCCCTGAGAAGCAGATTCTGTCCTCTTGTCCTTCCCCTCTTAAAGCCCGGGTCCCTCGGCACCTGTCACCGCCCCGCCGTGCTCGAGCGCTGATCCACGACCCCTCCACCTATTCTTACCCAGGCAGCGGCAGCAGGCTCGGGAGACGCCACCACCGGTTCCTCTCCGTTGCCACCTGCAACTGCGACACGGTGAGGCCGCCGCCATGCCGCCGGAGGCCTGACGCTTACAGATGCGAAGCTGCGCGTCCGAAGTTGCCCATTGCATCGCTTCGTTCGCTGATGCTGAACGGGAGCTTCTTGTTCTCCTCTGGCCACCGTCCAGGTCCGAAAAACAGACCAATCCTAGCGAGGCATTCGGGAGGGGGCGTCACCGCTAAAGCCCGGGCGAAGGTAGATCCTCTGGCGCTGGCGGGGAGAGGTCCTTGCTTCCGAGTCTCCCGAGGGCCTGTGCCTTCTCCGCGGGGCGTCTGCCCAGTGTCGGGACCTTAGTTCTTTAGAGCACCTGAGGCAAAGAAGCGGGACCCGGGCTATCTTGGATAAAGGGGGGGGGAGTGAAAAACATAGGAAATGGTAAAGCATTTTCAAATTGTAAAAAACGTGCAATGAAAAAAATCCTCCTCTTAACTGCTTCAAAATCGAAATTACTGAATATTTTAAAAATGAAGAAAAGATAAAATGCTGTATAATAATATCTGTGGAATGTACTTAAGGTAGTGCTCAAAAAGAAAATACAAAATAGAAGTAAATTAAATGTCCAATTCAAAAATTGAGAAGAAATTATCAAAGAAAGCAGAAGGAAAGAATTTGTAAGGATAAACGAAGAAATTAATAAATTATAAAATAGAAACAGGACACTACTAAGTAAAATATTTTTGGGGGGGAAAAAGGCTACAGTAGGATGGTTGGTTGACCTAACAAAGAGAAGTGAGTACAATTAAAATGCAAAACAATGAGAGGGTGGAGGGGGATAACCATAGATAAAGAAAAAGTTAAAAGATTCTATGAGAGATTTGACTCAACTCTGTAATAATTTGAAAACCTAAGTGAAATAGATAAAATGCCAAGAAAATACAATTTGCCAAAATATTCCAGAGGTAGAAATTCTAAGTAGACCGATAATCATAGAAGAAATTGATATGTAAGAGAAATGTCTTTTCCCACACCTAAATCCACAAAGGTACCAGTACCAAATTATTTCGCAGGAGAAGTTAACTATGTAACTTTTAGAAACAGATAAAGTCTGTTGTTATTGATTCTGTCTTGGGCACAGAAAAAGAAGTGAGAATAACACTAATATCAAAATCTCACTAAACATATGCATCAAGCACATATATATTGACCATTGAAATTTTTATTCATGAATATCAGTATTAAGTAAAACAATTAAAAATTATTATAACATGAAAAGAATAACGTCATTTTCAGAAATGAAAGGATATAATTAGTTTAAAAAGAAAAAATCTGTCATCTTCATAAATGCTATAAAGGCATTTGATAAAGTTCAACATATTTTTTATTAAATCAGTAAAAATTAAGCAAATATTGTTGGCACAACTGGATAGCCATCTGAAAAAAGTAAAGTTGGATCACAATTAACAATTCATACTTTGCATCAAAATAAATTCCAGAGAGGTTAAAGAGTAAATGGGGGAAAAAATAAAGCTTTAGGCTTTTAAAGTAATCCTGATAACATTCCATAGCAATACCCAGAAGCCATAAAAGAAAATTGATGGCTCAAGTACATAAAAAATTTAAAAGGGCAAAAGTATCTCAACTAAAAAATAAATCAAGAGCAATCTGGGTGAAAAATTGCAATTCATACCACAGACAATGAATTGATTTCTTTAATACATAAAAAGTACCTGTAAACTAATGAGGACATCAGCAACCATTAGCAAAATTGACAAAGAGTACCAATGGTTCACAAAAAGGAAACACAAATACATAATAAAAGTGTTCAAGCTCATTCAAAATAATAAAATTACAATGAAACTATAATAGAATATAATTTTCACCTATCATATTAGAAAATACTACAAGTCATAAAATATACTCTAATTGGTGAAGTAGCAGGAAAATGGGCATTATCATAACTTTACTGATGGAAGTTCAAATTGACAATAGCCCATGAAGAACAAACACAATATCTATTAAAATTGCAAATAAACATTTTTTTGCCCAGAAACTCTATTTTTAGGAGTGTATCTTACAGGTACATGTTGAAATGACTGGTGTTTAAAGAGTTCATTGCAGTATTCTAATAGCAAAGATTAAATAAAGATTGAAGCCCATCAGTGCAGAACATACAGTGGATTACTATGCAGCTATTAAAAATAATAAAATTCTAGAGTTTCTGCTCTATATGTACTAATGTGGAGTTATATCTAAAATATACTGAAGAATGAAAAACCAATGCAGAAATGCATATACATGTGTTGTTTAATGACAGAGACACTTTCTGAGAAACGCATTAGGTGATTTCATCATTGTGCAAATGTCATAGAGCATATTTACACAAACCTAGATGGTAGGTAGCCAAACCACCTTTGTTTACACATAACATGATTATTCACACATAACATGATTGTGTGTATAGAGAATCCTAAGTAATAACAAAATCCCTAATATGTGATTATAGCAAAGTTGCAGGATTTAAGGTTAATATTAAGAAGTCAGAATTTTTCTGTATACCAGCAATGAATAATTAAGATTTGAAATTTAAAAATACAACACCTTTTACATAAAATACTTAGTATGACTTAGTTTATTCCTGTTTTCTCCAGAGAAATAGGAGAAACATACACACAAACACATGTCTGGCACATGTGATTTATAAAGGTTGGCAAGTCTAAAATTTGCAGAACTGATGTTCCAGTTTCAGTTTGAGTTTGAATGCCAGAAGCCTGCTGTAGAATCAAGAATTGTAAATGTCTCATTTTGAAGGTCATAAGGCAGTAGAGCCAGTCTTTTCTGCTATTCTGACCTTCAATGGACTGGATGAGTTTTACATTATGTAGGGCAATATGCTTTATTCCATCTACCAATTTAAATCTCTCCCTCACTCCCTCTCTCTTTTTCCTTCTTTTGCATGCATGGTACTGGGGGTCAGACCCAGGACCTCACACATACTAGGCAAGCACTCAACCTTCAAGCTATATTCTCAGCCCGTTAAATCTAAATTTCATCCAAAATACCGTTACAGAAACACCCAAAATAATATTTGACTAAATAACTAGACATCCTGTGGCCCAGTTAAATTGACACACAAAATTAACCATCATAACCACCTTTGTCAACCTGGTACCCATAGACAACTCTTTAAACTATATTTAACCTCCAAGTAATTACAGTTACAAGATCATAATTCCAATAAAACACACTATGTCATTTGACATGACACAACTATCCTTTGTATAATTGAAAACACAATAACCTTTCCTAGGAAGAAGTCCCTAAGTGATGTTTACTTTTCTCCTTAATATCCCATAACTTAAATACTGTGGTGTAAAGATGACAATACTTAAGGGCTGGGATTGTGGCTCAGCGGTAGAGCGCTCGCCTAGCACGTGTGAGGGCCCCGGGTTTGATCCTCAGCACCACATAAAAATAAATAAATAAAATAAAGATATTGTGTCCAACTACAACTAAAAAATAAATATTTTTTAAAAAGATGACAATACTTAAATACTATGGTACATAGGCAGCATATGTTAATACGTGAGAAGGGGATATGAGAAGGAAGAAAACCAAGATATTTGTTACATGCTCACACACACAAATTCATAACAAAATAAGGAGGAGATACATAAGACAGTACTCATTTTTGTAATTGGACACATGGTTGTAACTAATCTTTATAACTTCGCTTTTTCTACTGTCCATTGCTTATTCTTTCTGCCTTTAGCAAGCACCTTGGCTATTCACAGTTCTTTTTTTTTTTTTAATAGACAAGTATCATTTTTTTAAACTTTTGATATGATCTATAGAAATTCATTTATTGATGTGGAGAATTATTTTTATTTATTTTTTTGAGAGAGAGAGAGAGAATTTTTTAATATTTATTTTTTAGTTTTCAGCAGACACATCTTTGTTTGTATGTGGTGCTGAGGATCGAACCTGGGCCGCACCGCACACCAGGCGAGCGCGCTACCGCTTGAGCCACATCCCCAGCCCAAGTATCATTTTTTGTAGTTGTAAATGGACAGAATGCGTTTGTTTATTTTTATTTGGTGCTGAGGATCAAACCCTGTGCCTCGCACATGCCAGGCAAGTGCTCTGCCACTGAGCTACAGCCCCAACCCTGGTCACAATTCTTTACCTGATGAAGTTAACCAAATAGTTTCTGAGTAGCCTTGCCTATATTGGGTTGTTGTAGTTTTCTATTTACCTTAATCTCAGAATATGGCAATACTAAGAGACACTGTAAGAGATCTCTGGCTTATCTCTATTATGAAGTAATAGTTCAATTTCCCCTTAATAGTCAAGTTCAATCTCTCCAGTTAGCACTAAAATTATCTTATTTTCCTGTTGTTTCAGAGGCATGTGGAGCTTCAAGTGACGGGTGGCAATCTTAAATCTACTGGTAGAAACATTCCTTTTTTTTTGGAACTCCTAAGCCAGCAGAGTATGCAGTCACAGGTACAGGAAGCAAAAAATGTTGCTGATGGGTCACTAAGGACAATACTAATGAGTGCCACTTCCATTTCTATCCCTTGATTCCTGGACCCATGGATCCTGGCTATGAGAAAAGTAGCACTATATATTGGATGCTGATTCAGAGTATATACAGCCTCCTAGGGCACCTTGCCCCAACCTTGCAAGATATTACCACCTAGCTGGTGCTATAGCTGAGTTTTCAAATGGCCATTCAACCATTTATGAAGCCAGTTACTTCAGGATGTTGGGGAACATTATAAGACCAGTAGATCCCATGATTATTGGCTATGAAGTAAATTCCTTCATCAGAAGCAATGCTGTGTGGAATACCTTTACAGTAGATAAAACTTTCTTTAAATTTATGGATAGTATTTTGGCAGAAGCATTGTGTGCAGGGAAGGCAAATCTATGCTGAGAGTGTCTATTCCAATAAAACACACTATGGAAGCAGTATGGTGCAATCAGTCTACCACTGGGTAGCTGGCTAATTGCTCCAGAGAATGGTGGCATATCGATGTTGGTCTCTGAT